AATATTTTATCTGGCAGGTTATTGACGGTTCTATTCCAACAGTGGACAACTTGAGGAGAAAGGGAGTGGTTATTCAGGGAGGTTGTGTGGTGTGTAGAAGTGAAGGGGAATCCATGGCTCATGCTTTTCGGGACTGCCCGGGAGCGAGGTGTGGTGGCAGGCAGGGGTGAGAACGGAGGAGGACCAGTTAACAGCCGCGGGTTGGGTTAAAAAATATGCCTCAATTGCGGACATGGAAGCAAAGTGTAGGTTTATAGCTCTTCTATGGAGCTTATGGAAGCGGAGAAATAATGGAGTATGGAAAGATACGAAACAAGATGCGCCTGAAGTACTAAATGTAGCGGTTGCCCTGCCGGCAGCCTGAAAGGACGCGCATAGTGACACGCGGCGGTCTGCAGGTGGTCGGCCGAGTGCTGCAGCAGCGACCAAGTGGAGTAGGCCGAAGCCGGGTTGTGTTAAAATTAATGTAGATGGGGCAGTGGACTCAACAAGTGGCATTAGAACTTGGGGTTTGATCGCTAGAGATGCAGATGGTGAATTTATAAAAGCTTGTGGAGTTTCACATAGGACGGATTGGACGGTGGAGGAAACTGAGGCATTGGGGCTGAGAGATTATGTTCGTTGGGCAGTAGAGGAAAGGTGGCAGGAGGTGGAAATAGAGTCTGATGCACTTACAGTGGTTTAGGGATTGAAACAATAGGGGGGGGGGGCTCTCCTATAATCAGTTAATTCTAGATGATATTAGACTTGTTATTTCCCAAAAAAGAAATATTTCTATTTCTTATTGTAGAAGATCTGCAAATTGCGTGGCTCATGCTATTGCTCGAGTGCATGTGAATTTACCATATTAGAGAGTTGTGTTTGATAGAGTTCTTGATTGTATTCTCAATCATTTCAAAAAAAATTGAACCATAATTTTGATTAGTATAATATTATACAAGTTATAAATTTTATATTTTTATGAAAGTACTTTCAACAAGGATCATTTTTATATAATTTTTATATTATAAATAATCTATATCTATATAAAAACAGAAAAGTGGGGAGGGAATTTGGGCGGGAAAAACGTGTCTTGCACATGAGAGTAAATATGAAAACTTATGAATGCAAAAAAAAAAAATTGAATAAAAATTTAATCATGAAGTTGGCCCTTGAACTTTTCAAAAAGGGACAAAGCAATAAATACTCAAGAGGACAAAGCCTTTAATACGGAGTATTCAGATTAATGATTGAAATAATCTGCATCACATTAGTCGATGCATAAAATTAAATTACTAACCCAATGAAGTACACTCTTTATTACAAATTACAAATTAAAGTTAGTTTACACACCTGGGAAATCATAAAATAAGAAAATGAAGTATGCACATGCTGACATGCAACGATGTGGCTTTTTACATTCTAATGGAAAAATCTAGATTTTTCGCTCCTATAAATTAGGGACCATTGGGGATGAATTTCAACACACAGGACGGTAAACTCATATCCGAACATCTAATATCTGCAGTGACTTTCAAATATACACACCAAACTCTCAAGTAAAATCATCATGCTCAACAATTTGCGTCTGCTTTCACAAGTAATCTAAAAAAACATTGCCCCTGCAAAATGAACAAGTATTCATGTATGAGGCATCAGGTAAAAGCCATTGTTACTTTAAGATGAAAAACATTGTATCCTTGCACATTTATTGAAATCATTTCTTTGATCATTCATGTGTTGCTTATCTCAAGATGTCTGCCAAGAAAAAGCAGAGATTAGCACGTCAAAAGTTTAGCAGGTCACAGAGTGTATGCTGAAAATGCAATGTTATGTGGTTTTCGAATTTCAACTTTGGATTTTGTTTTTTTGGTGTTCAGTTGACTGGTCATAGTTAGAAGATGTGTTCTAATATAAAAGAGATTAGCGTTGAAGCACTACATGGAAGATGACAGTGGACTCATCAGCCTTTATTTGACAGTAGAACATGAACGACATCCATACCCTTTTATTACCAAGTTATACTCCGTATATGTTTAAGTATTACAGTGGTTGTATAGTCGACTTCTAACCTATTCATAAAGGTATGAAAGGCCACATTAAAAATTGCAGTGCTCCATGAGGTTCACGAAACATCTATTCATCGTATAAACTAAAATTTACATTAATGATAAATATTTCTACGTATTATTCAAGAAAATTGTTCAAATTATAGATAGATCTTGATTTGAATATTTCAAGTACTTAAAAATAAGCTCATAGGATTAACTTCAAATAAGATCTGAAAAAATGAATTCTTCTTGAAGGGAATTCTTATAATTTGAGGGAACGTTTATGGTGTTACGTGTCAAAGTTGTTGAAAATATAAGGCTCATTTATCAAACATTCTAAAGATGTTACAGATTTATCTATTGACATAGAAGCATGATGATATATTCAATAAAACTACATTATAAAACTAAAAAATATAAAAACAACCATTAGGGTATATTGCAAACAACTATGGTATGATTTGCCGAATCTTCTTGAAGGAAACCTAGAATGGTGATGATATGTTTTAATTTTATGTATTTATTTATATATTACATATGACCAATTATTTGTTTTTAATTTATGCAGGAATTTAGATTCAGTGAAAAGGCTAAGCATCTTCTTTTGAAGTGGGGGTCATCCATATACCTGCAATTACTTAATCAAATACATGTTGTCAACATTCATCTTAAGATGATAAAATATTACCTAATCTGTTAGAAAATTGTCATTTGAAGGCATGAGGCATCAAAGTTTGGCTTAAACAAATTTTCATGTTCATGTAAGTTGTCGATTTTCAAGTCTAAAATGCAAGTCGATTTAGATAAAGTACTTTTCTTTTACATGTTTGATAAAAAAGAGTACCATATGTGAATGTGTTGGAAACTGAAGTCTTAAACAGAATACAATGCCCGTGAATAGGCAACGAGCCGTTTGTTGAGGGTATTGTAAAAAGGTCTATATTAACAAATCCTAACTGAACAGAAATTGATTTTAGTTGTGATTGTGTGTCCAAAATAAAACTGAAGTAGCATATTTAGAATCCATAATCGTTGGTTGACATTAAAACTTTCCAAAATGAAATAACAATTAAAGAAAAAAAATGTAATTCATACCTTTTATTATTATTCATTCAAGTTTTACTTTGATTATATTGAAATATTCAAGACAAACTGCTACTATTGATTTTTCCCCACCATTCAAGATTAAATTGGGAGTGATAGAAACGTATGAATTGAACAATTCAAATGAAAAGCAACACCTACCATGCAAAAATTGACCTTTCTTTGAGAAAACAAAAAATCTTTTCAAATTCCAATACAGTTATATTCTTTGTGAGGAATATTCATGTAAATCTTCGTTTTTATCAAAACAATATCTTCATACAGCTCCAATGAACTAATTTGCGAAGTGAATTTAAACCTTACTTAAAATATATAATGTATATAATGAATCCATTAATGAATTAATCGCTTAATGTGAAGGACTGGTGGAATACCGGAACTACCGACTACGGAAGGCGGAAGGTTAAAACTTAGAAGGGCCGATTGGCCGAACCTCGGAATGGTGAGGGGCAGACTGCAGGGACCTGGGATGGAAACCACTGACAAGGCTTGCTGCGGTGCTGGCGCCTGGTGGAGTGGCGGTGCTGTTGTGTTGCGTGTTGGCGCAAGCTGGAGGGCAGAGCCGGCGACTTGGTTGGGCATTTGACACTTCGACCGATCGTGGATGACAGATGGCTGGGTGTGGAAGAGTTGTACGAGAGATGTTAACTTTGGGCCTTTGGCCAGTTGAGCCCGACAAACCTAATTAGGCTGAAAAATCGGCTTTATATGTTTTGGACTTGCGAACCAGTCCTCTGAGCCCATGTTCATTAGTTTTATTTCCTACTTTGGAGTTTTAATGAGTCCTGACAAATATGAGTTGTTTGTTTGTTTTATTCATGTAAAAGAATGTGTTCTGCAAAAAAAGAACTATTTGTGCAGGTATAAAGAAGAGAATAGTTGGATATATGAGTGTTTCTTTTTCCTTTTTAGACCTAAAAATGTGCAAGGCCTTCAAACTTTATACTAGAATTCGACTGCAACAAGGTTTCAAATTATTGATTTACTATATAGCTTAATATTGTAAAAAATGTTTCCATAACCTTTTATGGTTTTCTAAATCTGTATTATAATTTCAAATTTATAGTAAGGTTTAACATGATTCTAATTATATTAAAGTAAAATAATTACTTTTAAATAATATGCATGGGTATATAGTAGTACTATAGAATGAGCTTCCGTAGACTCAGCCAATAATAAAAACCAAAAACATGTAGAACAAATATCTATTATATCAAATAAAAAAAAATCAGTAATTATTTAAAAGTAATTATTTTACTTTAATATAGTTAGAATCATGTTAAACCTTACTATAAATTTGAAATTCCAGATTTGATAGTAGGGATCGATTGTCTTGTCTGAGGAATGACAAGTGGACGATTAAGCAAGCTTCCTTTAAGGTCCATTTTACCCATCTCTGTATAGGAATATCAGTTAACAACGTGTTTAGTCAAATTTTAATAAAACAATAGATGTTCTATTAAAAACACAAGGCAAAATGATTTGATTTTTGTGAAATAAGCATATTATTATATCCTTTTTATAGAACTACAATAAATATGTAAAAACTACATTTTCCTAGGCATGAACCGGTTCCGGACTGCACTTCCTTTGGAACTGGCCCGGCCGGTCGCGGTCCGGGCCTATAATTTTTTTTCTTTTTCTTTTGTTGTAGGCGGGTTGGGCTGGATGTTTTTGGGGTGTTTGGGGAGGGGGGTTAATTAGAAAAGCAAAATAAATAAATAAATAAATAAATAAATAAATAAATAAATAAATAAATAAATAAATAAATAAATAAACCGGCCTGAAGCCCGGTCCGGACCGAAACCGGTCCATGCCTACATTTTTTCGTGCATTGCACGGGTCCTATACTAGTTTTCGTGTACAGCATAAGTTTGAGCAAAGTCAAAGAATCTGTTCAACTGCTTCCGGGCCGGCTCGATTCCGTTACCGGAAACTGGAAGTGTCTTGAACAGAATCTCCGCCGAATATTTACAAATAGCGTAGCCGGAATGAGCAACGGAGAGCTGATCCGCATCGAACCCGTTGACCTCCAATTTCCATGTAATTTTTCTCTCTCTCTCACCCCTCCACCCCAAGCTAGTTACTTTGTAAGTCTTTATGGTCCTTCCATTTCACATAGTTTTTAGATCTATAGTTTGCATCTTCTTTTTCCTCATATTATTCATCCCTTGTGGTTGTGAAAGTCGAATTGAAGAAGCAGATCTCATGTTCTATGCATTTGACAAACAAAACGGATAACCATGTCGCTTTCAAGGTATTACTTTCTGGATCTTCTTATGTGTCCATCTATAGCTTCCTTTCCATTTCCGATGAAAATATTCCTGAGAATATTATTATGCGGGCTGTTGGTTTATTATTTGCTATTTCCCATAATTAGGTGAAAACAACAAACCCTAAGAAGTATTGTGTGAGGCCAAACACTGGAATTTTGAAGCCGCGCGCTGATTGTGATGTCATAGGTCTCTGTTGACCCCCAACCCCTGCACCTATCTTTCATGTGTGTCCGAGTTTGCACTTCTCCTTGTTCAGGATATTATTATTAAATGTAGAATAATATGGTTCAGTTACAATGCAAGCACAAAAGGAGGCCCCAACAGACATGCAGTGCAAGGATAAGTTCTTGCTTCAAAGTGTGGTTGTGAGTCCTGACACCATGGCGAAGGATATTATTCCAGAAATGGTGATTTCTTACTGTAGTTATTTGTACATGGTTAATCATTTGATTGGTCTTTGAGCAATAGTGCTTACTTGTGTTGTTTGATTTTAGTTCAACAAGGAGTCAGGGAACCATGTTGATGAATGTAAGTTGAGAGTAGTGTATGCCACACCTCCTCAACCTCCATCGCCGGTGCGCGAGGGTTCTCAAGAAGGATCCTCACCAAGGGCTTCACTATCCGAAAGTGGAGCAGTGAGTTCATCAGAGCAGAGTAATGTGAGTTTTAAAACTGCCATATCTTAGAAAGAGACCCTATTTAAGTCAGATGTTAAGGGTCGTGAACCAGCCAATAGGGACATGTTGGATGACTTGCATATTATGAATGCAGGTTTCAAGAGCACAAAGTGACCCACAAGACAAGTCATTGGAGGTAACTTTCAATTATAACTCAGTTCTTGAGAGTGCTAAGTGAATCACTGACAGTCTTGTATCCCTTTTGAAGCAGGATCTTTAATGTTCAGTTATTGTTGTTGTTGCCTAAAAAGGGACTTTCTGAGTGTAGAATATTGATTCCTTATTTATTTTTTCTTTTAGGGGGTTTTAATTCCTAAAAGTCCCAAATGAGTATGGGAGGGGAGGGAGCTTCTTCAAGAAATCAAAAAGCTATTAGATTTAGTTCCTTTTTAGGGGAAAACATCCCCTCATTTTACTTATGAGAACATGCAGTGAGTATAATATTCTCCTATTGCTTTTAAACAGTAGGAAATATCATACATTATGTCCATCTATCACAACATGATATGCATATGAATACAGGATACATAGATGAACCGAAGTGGTAAGGCTGTATAGAAGTCAACTCAAGGGTATGCTAAGTCTACTTTAAAAATATAGGTCTGCTGTAGGTGAAGATATGATATCAATTCCAGCATTTTCTACCTGGAGCGTATATATAAAAGTATGACATGCTCTAAGCTTGTTCGTTGTTACAAATGTATTCATTATAGGTCCTTTAAGAGACTTTAGTAAGGACATCAGCTCGTTGATCATTTGAGCAACCAAATGAAGTATGAATGTCTCCAGAATTCCAGTGGTGGCCTTTTCTCGTATGAGCGGACAATCATCCTTAGTGTGCTTATCCACTTTGAGATAGATCAGAGTATCGGACGTGATTCAATGTGCAATGCCTGATGATCAGTCTATCACAAATTAACCTTATAGGCTATGATAGTAAGCTTAGTGACCAACCTTGCTCTGGACATGGGGAGATTGTTCCTGCTGTAGCAGATTAGCAATAAAACATTTTAAAGTCTGCAAACTAAGTGTCTTCCTGTTGTCGCACTAATACCCGGTGTTTGTTTCATGTACACTTCCTCTTCAAGCTTTCATTTAGAAATTCATTTTTTATATCAAACTGATGGTCATTGAAAAATCAGCAAAGAGGAAATTTTGGCTAGTTGGGAAGTCTCGGCGTAGTTGATGTCAAACATCTGTGTGTAGTCTTTTGCCTTAACGTGCCTTGAGCTTATCTATCTCCGCATCTTCCCACATGCAGGCCAACCTTCACACTGAACACCCATCGGCATCCATCCACTGTCCTCCACGAAGGTGAGGAGTGAGGACACTAAGTTACTAAGCTTGTGATGAATGAAGCGTTTCCATTTCTTTGTCTTAGTGTGTCTCCAAATTCCAACTAGGATAGGGAGAATGCCTCACTAAAACTATGAGGACCAGATACAGAAGATAGACAAGTAACAAATACACAATCTGACATAGTGACATTAGCTGAAGGCCTGAAGTGGGTGGAAAGTCTGGTTTTGTTCAAAGAAATTGACAACGAAAGAGGTGTAAAAGTGATGGGACAACAACCGCAGAATCCCTTTAGAACATGAGAGTATCCCAAAGGCATACCTTTTGTAGACCTGTATGATAGACTTTTCTAGTCATGGGGCATTATCATGGACAAAGAAAGTACACTGAAAAACATTAGCGGTACTTTTTGTATTCATTAGGAAATAAGATGTCATAACTTATATGGAATCTTCCATTGCAAGACTTTTGAGGGAATCGGGTCCATTCAGCTACTCCATTTTGTTAGTGGGCAATGCTCTAGTAGACTCGTGTAAAATTCCTTATGAGTACATGAACTGAAAAAAAGGTGTTGAAAAGTACTCCAAATCTTTATCACTTCTCAAAGTTTTAATGCTCACCACAAAATTGAGTCTTCGCTTCTCTAAAATGTTTTTGAAACGTGAAACTGATATTTCATCTAGTACTTATGTACAACAAGAGAAGTCGTCAATAAAGGTGACTAATATTTGAGTACCTAAAATTGTGGTTACACGGATTGGTTCTCAAATGTCTGGTTGGGATATAGAAAAACGGGTATTAGACTGTTAGCTCATCTATTGACTCTATTTGAGTAAGAAGCTGTAGAATGCTTTCGTAATTGACATGACTCACATTGAAAAGAACTAACACTAGTTTAACTTGGGATAAGTTAATAAAAATATGAAACTTGTCAAGTCTAGGGTTCCCAAGACAACTATGTAAAAATTGAGGCGTCAAAACAACCATGCAAGTAGTATTGGTGGATAGATGATAATAACCCTCATGATTCATATCAGTATATAATACTCCCTCCATCCCGATTCCCGAAAAGGTTCGCCAAATTGATTTTTTTAGTCAATGACAATCAACTTTGAACAATGATATTTTTTAATACAAAATTATTTAGAATATGAAAATTATATCAGTGTTTCTTATTCAAAACATTTTCATAAAAGTATAAAATTTACAAATTATATACGAATATAATAATTAAAATCATTGTTCAAAGTTTGACATCATTGACCAAGAAAAGTCAATATGGCAATCCTTTTTGAGACGGAGGTAGTATATGAATCAGAAGCTGTATAAAATGTTACAGCTTACAATGAAGTCGAGATAAAGAGTAAGCTGACAGGTTCAGATTAAGTTTAGGGGACATCCAGTGTGCATAAAACAAAGGATAAAGTCACAGATGGAGAAAGTAAGGGCCTGTTTACTAACAGAGATATTTTCCTGTTTTCTACTTCTGTTTTTCATTCTCCAATTTTCTGTTTTTATGTTTCAGTTTTTCTATCTCCAATTTTCTGTTTCTATTTCTTAGTTTTCCATTTTCAAATTTGAAAACATGTTCATCAATTTTTTCACACAATTCTCCAATTCCACACCCTTGACCCCTACCTCTACCCTTACCACGATCTTACACTCTACCCATACTCTACCACAACCCTTCATACCCACCCATACCTACTCGTAGGGGTCAGGGTAGGGAAGTTATGGGTGGGGTGGGGTAAGGGGTATGGTCGGGGTGGGTGGTAAGGTTTAGGGGTAGGGGGTTGGGTGGGGTAGGGTCGTGGTTAGGGTTAAGGGTGGGGTAGTGGGTAGGGTTGGGGTAAGGTAAGGGTAGGGTAGGGAGTTGGGATAGGATGGCGGTAGGGTGGGGTCAGGACCAGGGTAGGGTGAGAGGGTAGGATGGCGGTAAGGGTGGGGGTAGTGGGAAGGGTTTGGGGTTGGGGTAAGGTAGGCCGTAGGGGTAGGGTAGGGAGTTGGGATAGGATGGCGGTAGGGTGGGGTCGGGACCAGGATGGGGCCGGGGTAGGGAAGGGGTAGGGTGGGGGTAGTGGGTAGGGTTTGGGGTTGGGGTAAGGTAGGGGTAGGGAGTTGAGATAGGATGGCGGTAGGGTGGGCCCGGGATCCGGGTGGGGCCGAGGTAGGGTAGGGTGGGAGTAGGATGGCGGTACGAGGGTGGGGGTAGGATGGCGGTGAGGTGGGGGCGAGGTAGGAGGCATGTGGTAAGGGGTAAGGTAGGGGTAAGTGGTAATATACAAGGGGTGGGGGTAGGGTGGGTCGGGGTGGGTTGAGGTGGTAGGGGGGTGGCGGTAGGGTAGGGTGGATCGAGGTGGGGTCGAGGTGGTAGGGGGGTGGCAGTAGGGTATGGTGGATCGTGGTGGGGCTGAGGTCGGGGCATGTGGTGGGGGGGTGGGGGTGGGGTAAGGTAATTATAGGGAAAAATGGGTACGCGGGGTGGGGGTTGGGTGGGTAGGGTAGGGGTAAGGGGTAAGGTACGAGGATGGAGGTACCGGAATGGAATCGACATCGGAGCGGGACCGGACCCACCACTAGGTGTAAGTATGCAAATTCATTGCAAAGGCACTGTAGTATCTGCGTTTTCCAAATTTGGAAAACTAGTAAAAGTCACTTCTCCAAATCATTAAGGAAAAGTGAAACATGTTTCATTTTTTTCGTTTTGGAAAACGATTTGGTAAACACGTTTTTCTTTTCTCCTTTCTCCAGTTTTCCAGGAATTTCTTTGGTAAACATGTTTCCTGTTTTCTGTTTTCCAGTTTTCCAGTTTTCTGGAAAACTGGAAAATATTTCTGTTAGTAAACAGGCCCTAAACATTTCCTTGTGATCCATTTCCAAATGTAATCGTGTGAAGTGAGTAGGGTTAAACTCATTAGAAAAAAGCTGAGTTTATTTCCCCCCAAATGTAATCATCATCTACTGGCACCTATGCCTTGGCTCCAGTCCTGTTGCAGCTCGATGGTCTTAAGCAATCTTGAGCCACCAGTGGTCTAGAGTTTAACTGAAAATCTGCTGGCTTGATTTTTTTTCCATGTAATCTGTAAAGGCTCTTGATTTGCAGCTATTACTGCTTATTTGTTGTTGCCTTGCTCATTATTGTTTCCTTTCTCGTGGCTGCTTCCTTGCACATTATTGTTTGTTCGAGGACAACCATGAACCCTCCTCATATTGCTCAAGGCACATGTGTGCTAACATTTACTCATATGTATTAAGTTTTTTGAACTAAGATGTAAAACATTTGCACTTTAAATTTCTTTTCAAATGAATTCTTGATAATTTTTTTTTTTCTGAATAATAAGAGCTGACGTTTTTGGTTCACATTTTCAGGTAAAAGGCCTAATTTCTAATCTCATGGCTGAGAGGGATTCTGCCATTCAAATAAATAACAAGCTCCGACAGGAATTGGTACGGATATGTGTGTGTGTATATGTGTGTGTGAGTGAGTGTGGATGTTTGTTTTTTTATAATAAGATATTAATTAGTAAGTGTTATTACTTGTTACTTTTGATATAGTGGGCTTAACCGGAGTCCGAAACAATGATTTAATCTCGTAGTCATTAAACGGTGTTATGAAGACATAATTGAATACATGAATTATTCACTCAATCAAAAGCCAACTTGTTTGCTTAGATATAATTTATTACTCCTGATTCAGATGTTTATTCAGCCCCTTTTTCAAGAAACCATGATGGATTGGTTAGATGTGTGTTAATAAGGGAGTGTTTGCAACTTCTTCTGCTTAAAAAAAAGCACTTTGGAGTGATTTGAAAAAAAGTGGTTAGTAGTAAAAGTTGATAGTGTTTGAGAAAAAAGTGATTTTGAAAAGTAAAAGTTGGTAGTGTTTGGTAAAATAAGTGCTTTTTGTGTAATAAAAAGGGGAAAAACACTTTTCACACGCAAGCCAAGAAAAAGTAAAAATTGGTAGTGTTTAGTAAATAGGTGCTTTTTTAAGCCAAAAGCTGGGAAGTGCTTTTTTTTAAGCAGTTGCAAACACTCCCTAAGTAAGGTTACTCACTGGCAAGGCGGACTAGAAGTAACCTTAAATCGGTTACTTTACTCAACCCTCATTCAGCACACCAAGTCAACAATCTCTTACACAAAGACCACTTAATCTAGAATGACATCTCAATAGAAACAGGACTTAATGGGAAGTTAAGTAAACAGTCCAGGATCCATGTGAAATGGCAGCCCTGTCTGAATGGCATGGCTTTTGTTTTTACAGCCATCACAAGAATATATGTGGGAATAGCTCTCTATGGCAGTGATACCAGTTTTGTAATTTCTATGCCTTATAAGTAGCTATATACTAATGAACAGTATTCATAGAAATTAATGAATTTATAATGTATTCTCTAGCATGTCTATCTTAAACCAATTTTTTATTCTTCATAATCGTTTCACTCTAGGAACTTTTAAGACGGGAATCAAACAGAAGTCCAGGTGGCATTCCGTTTATGTATGTTATTATCATTGGCTTGCTTGGTATTCTTCTCGGCTATCTTTTCAAGAAAGCATCATGAAGGTTGCAGTAAATATATTGTATCTGAAAAATATTCCGTTCTACGAATTTCACATATGAAATTTATTCCGTTTTCCATTTCATTTTTTGCGTTTCTGTGCTACTTATAGAAGAATCTAGATCATAGATTATGAGTTACAATTATTTATTAGAATATTCAGTTACAAATCTAGATCAGGAGTTTGGCCTAAACATCTGATCCTTTCTATACCTCTATGGTATTAGAGCCATAAAAGCTCTCACCAGCCCCTTCATCCCATGTCTGCCGGTGTAAATGGAGCCAGACGTCCAAATGATCTCCATGAACAAGGAGACCTCGATAATTCTCTTGCTAAATGCCTTGTCTACTTCTATCAACAATAACCTAACATCCGAGGGGCTCATTATTAGGGGTGGACCGGTTCTGGGCCGGGCCCGGTTCGGGCCTTGAACCGGCCGGGCCTCGATTCAAGGTAAGGGAGGCCCGAGCCCGAACCGGCAGTGACCGGTTCCGGGCCGGTTCACCCGCCCTATTTTTTTTTTGCTTCTCTTATTTAACCCTCTACCCCTCCACCTAAACCCCAAACCACCTCAAATGGCCCAAAATACCTAATCCAACCCAAAACTCAAAAAAAAAATTTAAAAAAAAAATTAAATCCGGACCGGGCCCGAACCGGCCGGGCCGGTTCACCAAATGGAGGGCCCGGAACCGGTATCCACCGGGCCCCCCGTTCTACCCGAACCGCCGGTGGACCGGGCCACCGGGCCGGGCCGGTTGCTACAGTGGGTGGGCTGGGCCGGTTCCGGGCCGGGCCGCCCGGCCCGAGTCCACCCCTATTCATTATGATTAACTCGATTCAATTTTGAAAAAATAATTAGTTGAGTGAAATACCTGGTGTGGTGAGACCAAGCAATGGACCTCTCGTTTGGATCCCATCTAGATGACTAGATCTATATTATCAAAACCGGACCAGGAGTTGACCCGGGCATGGAATCGGGTCAAGGGTTAGCTTGAACCCGGGAGGGTCAGCCCAGTCAACACCGGGTCAACCCGGTCAACGTTTATAAAAAATATTATTAATCTAATATATACTACGTATATAATACACACACTTATATACGTCAGTATTAGATTAAAATTAATAGGGGAAAATTAATTACAATACCCCAAACTTAAGGGGCGTAAGATGAATACCCAAAACTTGCATATGTATTTTAAATACCCCAAACTTTATATAAAAAGTTATTTTTGCACCATAGTCAAGTATTATTTCTTTCAAAAATGTATATTTATGATGTTAATTGCATAATTTAAAATATTCTATAATTCATGAAGACACTATTAACATTTTAAACTTCCTTTGCGAAATTAATAATGTTACCCCCGATCTATATAATTGCAACAATTCTAATTTGCTATTTTAAATTATGCAATTAACCCCATAAATTTACTTTTTTGAAAGAAATACGGAGTAACACATAAAAATTGTGAGAAAATAACTTTTTATATAAAGTTTGGGGTATTCAAATTACATACGCAAGTTTGGGGTGTTTAGTTCACTCCACATCAAAGTTTGGGGTATTTTAATTATTTTTCCCAATTAACAATAGTTATAATAAGATTAATTTAAAAATTTATGTACCGAATTACCGATACATAAAGTTTTGAAATAATGGCCTGTTTATGACTTATGGCTTTTCAAATTCCAAATATATGACCCATTAGATAATTTTCACAAAAGTGAGCCATCCTTTTACTTTATCCCTTCATTGCACGCGAAACTTTTCTTCACGACTTCACCTCAGCAAGCGAAACTTCGTCGCCTTCATCCACCGGCATGAAGCTCTCTCTTGACGCTGTCGGGTCTGACTGGTTGCTCTTCTCTCTCTTGGTCATCTCGTAGTTGCCGCTTGCCATCTTCTTCTCTTTCTTTAGTCGACGATTAGGATTGGCGTCTCCTTGGCGATGACCTCTGCAACCATATCAATGAAGATGACGACGATTAGGGATTTTAGGGTTTCCAGGTTGGGGGTCTGGCTGGGGTTGCGCCAGCCCGGGCGCTAACTGGTCTGATGTAGATGGCCAGATCGGATCCAGTTGGTTTGGGTCGGGCGGTGGTAGGCTTGGGCTGGGAGGACTGGATTGGGGCTGGTTAGGGTGGTCGGAGTTGGTGTGCGGCATAGATTGGGTGGTTGACGGGGGTAGATCTAGTTGGTCAGTGGCTGGCCATTGTGATGGTTGTGACTGTGGCGGGGGAGGGGCAGTGGGGAAGTCAGGTGTGGGGCGGTGTCGGCGGCGACGCTAAGGGTGGTGCGGAGTCACTGGTGGTGGTGGCAGAGGGATTGCGGTGCCGGTGAGGAGATGATCGAAGTTGGCATGTCATTGGGGCGGTATCACCGGCAACAGTGTCATTGTGTCCGGAGTTACTGTGCCCGAAATGACTGTGTCGGAGTCACTGGCCCGGTCACTTTGGCCAGAGTCATTTTGGTCGGATTCACTTTGGTTAGAGTCACTTTGACCGGAATCACTTTGTCCTACAGGGAATAATTGTGAAGTTGGTCATATATTTGGAAATATAAAAAAGATGTCACATTTTTTGTCTTTTGTCTTCATTTATGTAATATTGAGGACAAAAGGCCTAAAGTTTTCTCAAAAAATTCAAGATGTGTTTGTAATTAAATGAATAATATCTAAATATACTTCCTCCGTTCTTTAATAAATGCAACACTTTTCTTTTTTGACAGTTTCAAATTAATTGCAACATTCCATTTTTGATAAGAAAATATAGCCAAAATGACTAAAAGACCCCTCCCCACAGCCGTTTAATACGGAGTATCAATCGAATCCACCCAAATTGATCTTCTCACCTGACAAATGATTTTATCGTAAGCCCCTCAATAGCCTCTTATATTTTCCATCTTCTTCCACTTTTCCTTCTTCCACAGAGGCTCTCTATTCTGTGTAAAACCTTCTTGTTCTTCCGTGTGATGCAGTGGCGGATGTCCTTTATGCAAGGGTGTTCACATGAACACCCAAAAATAAAAACAACAATAGGAATATGTATATTTTGAATTAGAGTAATAATAATTTACTTAATAGTGTTTTAAAGAGAAAATGTGTAATTTTGAACACCCAAAATGTAATTACTAGGTCCGCCGCTGGTGTGATGTAAAGAACTATCATTTTCTTTAATTTCTTTCCACTCTCCACATCTTCTTCCTTTTTAGAAATACGGAGTATGATTTTCTTTTTGTTTTTAAGCGACAAGGAAGATGCAAATTCGCTTGCTCCGCCACCGGCAGCTTCCTTTCATGATCGGACTAGAGGCAACAGAAATTAAGTTGTTCCAGATACTCGACAACATCTTTAAGAGAAATCAGCAGGACTATATTAAAGAGAATTGAAGATGGAGAAATTCCTTATTGTCGATTAAATAGGAACCCGAATTTGTTGATAAACCACCATGAGATTTTGTGTGGGAGCTTTATTATTCACTTTTAGTCTAAGTAGTACTCTGATAGTCGATTATACTAGTACTTACAACTGAAAATTCTAATACATAAAATCTAAGTAGGGGTACTCTCAAATTCTAATCCAAATAACCTAGCATCATCAAAATCTAATTACATTTATTCCTTACACTTTCTGTCTGGTTTTTCTCCTTACCAAACATTATTTCACCAGTCTCATGACTTCTCTTTTATGCGCGTGTTTGTGTGTGCCTGCTATCCTAATTTTCTGCTACTTCTGCATATAAAAGTGGCTCCTCGCTCTATGTAGTGTGTTTTAATTTCTTGGGACATGCATTTGAGTATAAGGGATATCGTTGTCTTGATCCTAAAACTGGTAGAGTTTATTTTCGTCGTTATGTTCGTTTTCATGAAAATGTGTTTCCTTATTCTCAATTAGTTTCTCACACTCTCCCTTACCAGTCTATTTTGCCACCTTGGCCTTTATCCTCCTCTACATATCCTCCGCCATCTTCCACTGCTACTGGACAACAACTTTCTCCAGTGCCTTTTTCATCGGACACATGTTCTGCCCCTCACTTGCTGACTGTGAGTTCTCTGCTGAACGAGGATGGCCACTTGGAGCAGCCGGTTTCTTTGTCGTCAGATTCTAGTCTAGTCACGGTGACTGGTTCTGGCACTCGCACGTCACCAGTTCGCCGATGATCCCCGGTTCAGCAACTCCCTCGTCTCATGTGAGTAATGTTTTGGGTGATGTTCCGGAACACACTAGTCCTTCTGCACAAAATATTCATCCCATTCAAACTTGCTCAAAATAAGAAATTTTTAAACGAAAAATGTTTTTTAATTTAGATATTATGGTTTTAATTCCTGATCCTACATGTTTTTCTGTGACTCATAAAGATCTAGGCAATCTCCAGTAACAAACTGAAGGTGGTGGTAGACTACATCACCTGGCGCACCCAGTTTGACTCATTCCTGGTCTCTCAAGGTTTGTTTAGCTTCGTGGATGGTTCTACATAGGTACCTCCCATGTACACAGTTGATTTCAATATAATCACCAAATCATTAATACTGATTATTACTATTGGTTACGGGTTGATCAAACAATTCATTCCTAGCTATTTGCTACTCTTACACACGATGTATTAATTGATGTACATGAGGTCAAACATTCCTTTGGGATCTGGGATCGATTACAAACTCAGATTAGGTCTGCTAGTGTGGCTAGATGTATGGAACGTAAGTGTCTGTTGTCTGATATTAAAAAGAAGTAAAATCACTATGGAATTTTTTTTAGGGAAAGCAGACTTCTAGTATATGAATTGGCTGCAATTAACTCTCATGTGACCAATAAAGAAATTCTTCAAACCACTCTTATGGGATTAGGACCGGAGTATGAGTCCACTATTGGCACTATTTCCCTTTTTCCTGATAATTTTCCAACAGTCATTCTTCATCCGAGTCTTTTAGAGGCAGAACATTGGGTTATTTCCCTTCGTAAGCAGGAAGCTGATCCTGTTTATCAGGCTTTTGGTGTACAAGCAGGAGCTGCTGCACCGCGTGGTCGCGGCGGCCGCGGCAGGGGAGGCCGCGGTAGAGGCCGCCACTACTAGGGTTACGGCCAACAGCCAAATAACGGCCAGGGACCGCCGCCGGATCAGCCTACTCACCGTCAAGTGTTTGGCCAGCAGCCCGGACACCACCAACAGTTGAGACCTACTAATGCAGGTGCTAATGTGCTATGAGTACTTCTGTTTTTCCACTTAAAATGCTAATGATATATCATTTTGTGGTACTAGTGTTAAATCTGCAGACTCTTCATCTGCTGAGGGAATTCTAGAGGCAATTCGCCCTCCTATTGTGTGTCAAATCTGTAAATCTTTATTTCTGCAGGTCATTCTTCTCTCCATTGTCCCTCCCATTTTTCTTAATCATCTGCACCTTCTCTTCTCACTGGTCAAGCTAATGAAGCCCTGTAGTATCGAGATTCCGGTGCCTCTGCTCACATGACTCCCTCTGAAGGTATTTTAACTAATAAGTCTACTTACTCTGGCCCAACTATTGTTAGTGTTGCTAATGGTGCTCATCTTCCTACAAAACATGTTGGTAATATTTCTTTAAAAGCCTCTGACCACCCACCGTTGTTAAAACATGTGAAATTCAATTTATTTTCAATTTGTGCGCTGATAACAACTGTGTTGCTATTTTTGACAAAATACCTTTTTTGTTAAGGTCTTAAGGATAAAATTTCAGGGGCGATTTCTTCTTCGGACAACAACTAATTACCATCTCTATCCTCTCAACCTGCTGAGTCCACCATCTAGCCTAGCATTATCTTCCGTCCTCACCACTGGCCTTGTGTGGCATCGTAGATTAGGTCACTGTGGTGAAAAGATTTTACGTATTTTATGCACTCAAAAACTTATATGTAATAGTTTTAGTTTTTCTCATGATTCTACTTCTTGTTGATTAGGCAAGTCTCAACGATTACCTTTTTCAGATGTTAATCACAATTCTTCTTCTCCCTTACATTTAATTCATTCTGATGTGTGGCAGTCTCATGTTCTCTCAAATTTAGGTTTTAAATATGTGTGTGCTTTATTGATGATTTTTCTCGTTTTACATGGATATACTCTTATGCGTTCTAAAACAGAGGTTTTTGATCACTTTAAAAATTTTAAAGCTTTAGCTGAAAATCTTTTTAGCTCTAAAATTAAAATTTTAAAAAGTGAAGGAGGGGGTGAATTTGTTGATTCTCATATGCAACATTTTTTTAATTCTCATGGAATTTATTTTCAAAAATCTTGTCCCCACACTACTCAACAAAATGGGGTTGCTGAGCATAAACATCGTCATCTTCTTGAACTTGCTAGGACTATGCTTATTGAAGCTTCTCTTCCTAGTTAGTTTTGGGTTGCTGCTAATTTTACGTTTGCATATATTATTAATAGATTATCCACTCCTACATTTTCTGAGCTCTCTCCTTCTGAAAAATTATTTCAAAAGTCTCTTGATTGATTGTTCTTTGTTATGTGTTTTTGGCTTTCATAGCAAAATATTTACTTGCTCTGGTAAATATAAAAGCAAGTAAATTATGTGAGTAACAATGATGTCATCCACATCATTCTGTAAATATTTTTGGCTATTTAGTTCAGTTATCAAACCTACAACTGTGCAAATTGTTCTTACTCTAGTCGTTTCTTATAATTGGCCTATTTGTTAGTTGGATGTGAAGAATGTCTTTCTTCATGGTCACCTCACAGAGGAAATTTATATGTGTCAACCACCTAGTTTTGTTCATCCACAATTTCCTAATCACATTTGTCGCTTGTGCAAGGCCATATATGGTCTCAAACAACTTACACGGGCGTGGTTTTATCGTTTCAGTAATTTTCTCTTGATTCATGATTTTGTGTGTAGTCGTGCTGATAATTATCTGTTTATTTTTCGTTAAGGTACTCACATAATTTACTTGCTTTTATATGTGGATGACATCATTGTTATTGGAAATACTTGCTCTGGTAATCTACATAATTTACTTGCTCAAACTCGAAAATATTTTGCTATGAAAGATCTAGGTGATCTCCATTTTTGGGGGGTTCAGGTTATACGAAATTCCTTTGGTCTATCTTTATTCCAAGCTAAATATGTGTCTGATCTACTCACTGCTTTCGTCTTCATACACTTAAATCTGTTTGCACGCCACTTTCTAGTAGGACCAAACTTTCTCTCATTGATGGTGAGTTACTTGTTGATCTATCCCACAGAGTACCGTAGCATGGTAGGTGCATTGTAGTATTTGACTATGACTAGACCAGATATTACATATGTTGTTCACTTGGTGTCCCAGTTTATACATGCTCCTCGTACTTCACATATGTTGGCTGTTAAGAGAATTTTCAGGTACTTATAGGGCACTCTCACGCATGGCCTACATCTTCCTTCCATTTGAGCTTTCACATTCCGTTTTGGCACACTCTAATGCAGATTAGGCTAGTTGTCCTGGTAGTATCAGATCTACATCTGGCTATGCAATTTTCCTGGGTTATAATTTGATATCATGGCGGTCCAAGAAGCAACCCACTGTCTCCAGATCCTCCACTGAAGCCGAGTATATGACCATTGCACATACGGTCCAAGATACTTCACACACATGATACATCATGTTCAACTTGGTTTTCCTATTCACTGGGTTGTTCAACTCGGAGCATTCGTCTTCAAAATTACAATAATGGTGGCACACTCCAACACCGATTTCAGAATTTCGATAAGGTATTCCTCCTCCACATCCTCCTCCTTATGCTCCTCTATTTTTTCTTCTCAATGTCCTTTGTTTTCTTCTTCCACCGCTAATCCGATTTCTTCTTCTTTTTGGATTTTCATTTGTATTAATTTCGATTAATTTAGCTTAAAACGTCCACATTAGTTTTCTCATCAATTGAACCTAAAAATGTTGACCTTCAACTGGCCTTCTATTTTCGATCAACCAAGAATAATCATGAAAACAATATTAAGAACAATAGCCTTGCTTCTTTCATTTGCTTCCTCGTCTTCTTCTCAACCACTTTCTACAAGTTCAAGATGGATTGTGGATGACAAAATTGAGGAAAGAGTGAAGTTGGCATGTGTTAGTTGGTCGGACAACTTAGAACCAATATTACCTGAGGGTCTAGATCGGAGGCCGCTAAGCAAGCTTGCCTCCGGTGTGGCAGCTATGGGTTTCAACTGTGTGAGGCTCACATGGGCCACACACATGTTCAACCGCTATGCAAGTAGGGACGTGGTTTAGATGTTCGTTGACCTTGGCTTGATTGAATCATTACCTGTATAGCTCCCAACAACCCGAACCTTATTTTTGAGACTCAATTTGCTTGACGTCGAAAGGCCGTGAATCGGAAAATTGGGAAATATGGAATCATGATGGCCTTGGATAACCATGTTAGTAAGCCAGTGTGGTGTTGTGCTGACAATGATGGAAATGGGTTTTTTGGCAATAAAGATTTTGACTCTGGTGAATGGTTACAAGGACTTGGTCTTGCAGCTAAGCACTCCAAGAATTCACCCATGGTTGCAGTGATAAGGATGCACAATGAGCTACATGGGCCATTACTGAACATGGACATATGGTATAAGTACGTAGTCAACGTAAAGAAGGGTGCTAAAATAATCAACAACGCAAACTCTGATCTTTTTTCATCTTCTCAGCTTGGACTACGATTTGGACTTCACTTTCTTGAAGAAAAGGGCTTTGGGACTCATGGATATACATTCATTGAAGGGAAATCAAAGGCATGGTTGAGTGGACCTTTGAACAAGGTTTGCCTCAATCTGACTAAAGGAATTGATGAGAAAGAGTTGTTCTTGCCTTCTTAGTTAGGAGAGGAAGAAGCAATCACAACAATATTAATGTTACCCCTCTATTTGTGAGTGAGTTTAGTATAAGTCAAATGGGATATAGTAATTGGGGTGGCCACAAACAACCTTCAATTTCCTTGCATGCTTTCTTATTTGGAATGGAGTGGTTGGACTCTCCAAGGAAGCCATTACCTAAGGGATGGTCAATATGGGCATGATGAAAGTTATGGCATGTTTAATACCAATTGGACTACGGTTAGAAATCCCGAAGTCCTCTTGAAATTTCAGTTTTTGCAACATAAACTCCCAGATCCAAAGTCAAGCAAGCCAACATATTAGTTACTATGCCATCCATTGAGTGAGCAACGTGCACGAGTGATTGGGGATCAAATCTAGATGAGTAATTGCTTAGGGTCAAGCCAGTGGATCCACGAGGTAAACGAGACGTCAGTAAAGATGATCGAATCTTCCAAATCCATGATGATGGCAGGGCAAGATATCCCGGTCACTCTCTCCCACAGTTGCAAAGATGATGACAAGAATCAAAGTACTAATAAGTGGAGGTTGGTTGCTTCTGATTCAATGTTCTAGTTGAAGAGCAAGGATGACAATGGTTTGGAGTTATGCTTGGATTTCAATTCATCTTATTTTTACCTCCATGCTTCTGACAAGGAAGTGTGTTGGTTTGGAAGAGGGTGACTTGACAAACCTCAAAGTCAATGGTTTAAGCTCATTACATCAAAAGTTGTGTAGACGATGGAATTTATTTAGTTTAGTTGTTATTTCTTTAGGTTTAGACTTTAGATAGTAATGCTCCCTCAGCACCTTCAATGAAGTTATTGTCCTTTGTTCGCACAAAAAGAAAGAACCTAAAAATGCCTTTTTAGTTGTTTTATTGAACCCCAATTTGAAAATAATGTCACTTTTATGACATTACATTTATCAAGATGACAATTTTACTTTACATCTTAATTACATTTTGAGAGTAACATTTGATATTTTCAAAAAGTGATAATGACATTCTTATGACATTTTTAGTACAAACATGACATTTATAAAAAAAGTGAAATTTAAAGATGGAAAGGAGCGTCTGTCATATTTTCTATTTACACAAATGACATCTTCATGACATTTTGAAGAAGAAGAAGAGGTGGAAGAGCTTACATAGCCATGTAGCAGAGCCATCGGTCATTGTCACCGATATTCTTCGCAGGCAACGAACATCCGATCCATTCATCCATTCATTGAAAACCAATGACAACCATAAAACTTTAGTTTTAGAGTTTTTTAAACAAAATTACTAAAGTAAAACTTATTTACAAAATTGGGCTAAATGTTATTATAGTATATAGTGTCATGGCTAGTATAATAGTTGCACATAAATATGTAATTATTAAAATTTTTAAAGAAAAAGGGTTAAATAGAGGCTTCTACTATTTTAAATCTATCATTTAAATCCCCATACTTAAAGTATCATATAAGTACATTGACTTTAAAAAAGTGGTCAGTAACTCAATATGGCCTTTTAATGGGTTTTGATATGTACTAGCAAATTTTTTATATTAAAATTTTTTAAAAATTAAATAAAACTCAAACAAGAAGAAATAAACAATGAAACTCAAAATCTATATTTAACATTTTTGGAATTATTTGTATATTTTACATCTTTTTAAAAGTTATCACTCATGTTCCGTTAAGATTGTCTCATCTTTCTTTTTGGGTTCATCCCACTAATATTGTACCATACCAAATTTGGTGCAGTTTGTTTAGTTCTAAATCATTCTTACTTTATTCTTACTTAATCAATTCAATATCAACCACATGATATCATTTTTCTTTATAACATCACCACCTTTTCATGTTCCAGTGTTAGTGCGGCGGGGTAGTGCATTTTAGTTTTAGTCTCTCTCCGTCCCATAAAATTCTTCCAACTTACCATTTTGAAATGTCTGAAAAAATTCTTTTCATTTCCCATTTTGAAAAGTTTTGTGTGACTAAATTTACTCTGTGTTTACTTTTTTTCTTACTTAACCATAATCATACATTTTCACTTTATTTTCATTTTCGCAAACTCTGATCCAAGTCAAACCAAGAATAAATTTATGAAACACATGGAGTATTTTTTAGACTTTAACTTTATTTTTTCTTTATTTTATTTTTATTTTATTTTAACGTGTTAAAGTTACATATCTATATTTGAACTTACACATTTATCTTATTATTATTATTACATTAGTTTTCATTTATATACTCCGTATGATTTTTTATAAGATTAATCAATAATTTTTTTGTTTTCACATTTTGATAATTCTAAAACTGTTAATTGCTCCAAGCTCTCGTATGCCGAAAACTTTTGCTCAGTTTTGGGTAATTTTCATGCATGATTAGAGCATCTCCAATGCTACAATGTGCACATTGCACATGTGGCATGAGAGAGATAGACACAAAATATTGATTTTAAGACGTTCCTCTCTCATTCTTTTCACGGTCATATGTGTTTTTGGTAAGTTTGTGTCTGCAATGTCAATCACAATGTCTACATCTAGACATTGTGTTTGACATT